GAGTCTGAAGGGAAAAAATGGAGAGGGAAGAGAGGCGTGTGTGTAATCCTTTAAAAAAAAAACCGACAGTAGTCTGGACACGTGTTAGCTCCCAAGCGCTAACCTTAACATTTACCTTGACCAAATAGCAGGTGGTAAAACTAAAGTTGCCTTGGCTACTTTAACCTGTTAAAAATACATCTTTTCCCTAAAAAAGAACAGGAGTACTTGTGGCACCTTAGAGACTAACAAATTTATTTGAGCATAAGCTTTCCTGGGCTACAACCCACTCTATATGCATCCGAAGAAGTGGGCTGTAGCTGAAGAGATCTTATGCTCTAATAAATTTGTTAGTCTCTAAGGTGCCACAAGTCCTCCTGTTCTTTTTTAGGGAAAAGATGTATTTTTAACAGGTTAAAGTAGCCAAGGCAACTTTAGTTTTACCACATGCTATTTGGTCAAGGTAAATGTTAAGGTTAGCGCTTGGGAGCTAACACGTGTCCAGACTACTGTCGGTTTTTTTTTTAAAGGATTACACACACGCCTCTCTTCCCTCTCCATTTTTTCCCTTCAGACTCTTTCCTTTAGTTTAACAACAGCGTTTACTCTCCCGCGGCCAAAGCCAGGAAAGGAAAGGATTCCTGTGCAATTTCTAGCAGCTCCACCAAGCAGCAGCACCGCCTTATGAAACACAACTGGGGCGAGAGAAGTAGCCCAGCACTTTAATTAATCCCTGTTTACCCCCCTCCCCCCCATCTCCCAAATTAAAGCAGCTCTGGCCATATTCTTTGCGGTTTTTATTTAATAAGAGTGAGGCACAGATGTGTCTCCCGCGGTGCGGTCCCTGCTGCTTCTCCTTGGACCCAGAGGAAGGGAAGAGGTTTCACAGCTGTCCTAAGGCGGGTATTTGCTTGACATTGTGTTTAAAGTGCTGTTTATTGCCTCGCCATTGAATAACAAGCTCCCTCCCTCTCCCTCCAGCTCCTCCATCTTTCTCCCTCCTGGATGAGTTATTAACCACCACAGCCCTCTGGCTGGCAGAGGGGCGGGGGAGTTTCTGCACAAAGCAGACACAGCCAGCGCCAAATGCAAGCTGCCTTCATCGCTGTAACTTTGTCCCCCCTCCCCCCGTCTAAAAATAATACATCCGAGGGGAGCGTGGGGGGGGGGGGTTTTTTCCGGGGTGTGTGTGGAATCAGCTGTTAGGAGCCCATTTTAAGTAGCACTTTAAGTGCCCAAATTAGGGACACATATCGCATGATTCAATATTTACAATATAAATATAAAATAGCATTAAATGGTAGCTCATTTGGGGTGGGGGGGTCATACCTGTCTGGCTCCGACTGAGGGATGGGGGATGTTTGCATTTTAATGAAATTCACAATTTCGGAGAGCGGGTCTTAAAACCTCCTTCATTCCAATTGTCCTATACAAACCGGGTGTGTATGTGTGTAATATAAAATCCTGTATATGTGTAGATATACACGTACAAACAGACACTACCTATATGCATGTATACACTATATATGTGTGTGTGTGTGTGTGTGTGTAGTATATAACACATTGTGTGTATAGATCCTGGGTATGCGTATCTATACACACATACTATATGTGCGTTTAGTGTGTGGGTCTATACATGCTGCTATTCTATGCACAAGGTGTGTTATATTTAGGATGCATATGTGTGTCTATAAACACATTATTAAGATATATGCGTGTATTCCCACGTACAGCGTGTCTATATTACGTCCACACAGCAATATATAAAATAGGGCATGCACTATAATCGATAGTGTCCATAGGTATACTGTCTGTATGCCATATCTGTATCTAATGCGGATTTCTAGCTAGCACCTCTCTGGGTGATCAGCCCCCAGGAGCTGGGGATACACAGAATATTATACTGCTGAGGTTTTCCTTTTATCCACCCCACCCCCATTTGCAAGCAGAGTCCGGGCTGGCAGCAGCGGGGGGGCGATGTTGAGGGGGGGGACGAGAGCAGGGCTCTGTGTGTGTGTGTGTGTGTGTATGTGTGTGTTATTGCACACTTCCTGTGGTATATTTATGACCAGGGCTTCGATTTCCGGTAGCTGATACGAGCTCTCTCTGTGTCTGTGTCTCTCTCTCTCCCTGAGCATTGAATATCAGCGGGCGGAGGCGGAGGGGCGCCTGGCACACACACACACACACGCGCGCACACACACACACACACACACAGGTGGGGGGTGGAGGAGGACAGAGGGAGAAGCCAGTGACCGGGGGATGGGAGACACTTTCCCCTCCCCACAGCCACCCCCTCACCATATCACCCTACCAGCCCCAGCCAATACAGGGAATAGACCACAGCCTCCCCGCCCCGCATTCCTATGGACAGACACCTGCAGGTAGGTGACTGCTGGGGGGGAGGAGGGGGACAGCAGTGTGTGTGTGTGTTGGGGGGGTACATACAGTGTCTCTCTTTGTGTGTAGGGGAAGGAGGGTGCTTATGAAACCTGTGTGGCTCTAGACTCAGTGTCCCTCTCTTTGTGTAGGGGCAGTTAGGAAGTGTGTGTGTGTGTGGGGGGGGGGATGATGGAGATCTGTGTGTGTGCATATGCACACAGAGACTCTTTTGTGTTGGAGGATGAGGGGGGAGATAGGATGGTTATTGAATGGCGGAGGGAGGTATAGGTGAGAGAAGTTACGTACTGTGTGTGTTGGGGGTAAGTGGAAGAGGGTCAGGAGAGCATCAACCAAATGATTCAAATAAGTCAACCCCATATAACTTAGTATAGATCAGTTTGGTTTTTTTTAACAAAGTTTTTAGGGCATAAATGAATCAGCTGAACCCACCTTTTCCCCCTATTCCCTAGTTCTTGTGCCCCTGTCTGGATGGTGATGTGTTATGTGGGGGGAGCTTTTGGGCTGTGAGGAGTGTATTGGGAGGGGGTTGTCTGTGTATAGAGGTGT